ATTAAAGAATTTCAAGAAATTTTAGATTTTTCAAAAGTTTTTGTTAACGTTATTGTCTTGTTACAAAAGGCCAATTACAAAGTATATTCTTTGCAAATATTATAAGAACTTAGTTTAATCTTGTATTAAAGATAAGATCTTGGCTTACATGTTTAATTCAAGCTTGGACTAAATTCTTGTTTCAACTTCACTTGAATTGTTTCCATGGACAATTTAACCGAATATATGATATACTAAAAAAACATGTTTTTGATATATCAAAATCCGAGAATTTTAAAATTAAATTAAATTCTGTTATTAAAAATATAAATTACATAACAGTAGAAAGTTACAAAATTGTAATTTATTCCAAAAAATTTAAATTATTTTTATGTAAAGCTAATTGTGCGCGTACTAAAATATTTTTTTAGTCAAAAATTATTTACGTTGACAAACAAGTTGTTTTCATTTAAATATCATATCAATATCAATCATGCGGGATTTGCTTCTATTCTGTTTTCTTTCTAAGCAGCAGATTATTATACCCAAACAAGAGTATATGTTTTCTATAAAAATGAGAATACTTTATACTTTTTGTTCTCAAAGATATTCAATCATGATTAACTAATTTTGAAAATAAATATTTTCTGTCGTAACTTAATCCTAATTTTATATGCTAAACAGATCTGTGTGAAACATATATTTCGGAAATTATGTGCTCACTTTCGAGTGAGAAACGCCAATATTTTGTCGTAATCCTTCCAACAAACATCTGTCTATTCTCGGAGGGTCTCCCTTTGGCGAATAATAATATGTTATATATACACTATATATACATGAGAGAGATGATGTATAGGTGTGTATATTCTAACTCCTATGAGACACGCATATATCAGATTTTTCAAGGTATTTGAAAATGTATGTACTTGACGCTCGACAAAAAGGATAAATATGCGACGTGACTGGTTGATTAAAATTGGTAAATAATGCAAATATATAAATAACAAAATATTTTAAAACAATGGATAATTAATACATAAATAGGCAGGTTAATTACATTCTGTCATTATCATATTATATTGGTTAATATAAATAATATAAAGAAAAGTTATGTAATAGCATGTAATAGATTGTTTCGGATTAGAATCATATTCTTTTTCTAGAAATTTTTAAAATAATTTTTTGTGAGAAAATTTTGATCCAATTCGCAAATAAATTAGAAATGGGATTTGCTGAAACATCGTGGTCTAAAAAGATTATTTTATGCTCTATAAAAATTTTATTTTAAAGTAAAAATAAATTTAAATTATTTAGTTATAATTTAATTATTAACGGATATGTAACACATTCTATTAAATAAATTAAACATATTTCAATCACTAAATTATTTTTTGTTTGTCCAAATCTTATATTTATTTAATCCATATAAGACTTGAATTTTAAAAACTTATAACTGATGAGCTTTTTAAAAGATTCTGTCTTACTATACATGTTACACAGGCAAAATGTATCTTAAATGTATGTTAAAGACAAATATTCTCATATATAAAAATATTACAATCTTCTTAAAAATTTTCTTGATTTGACTAAATTTATATTGATGCAAATATTACTTTTGCTCAACTCAGGATTAAAAATCTTCTGAAAAAATGATAAAAATTATAATATTATATCTTGCTTGTACATAAGAATATATAATCATGATTTAAGAGACGAATTTTTTTTTATTTACATATCTTCAAAAAAAATTTCACATTTCTTGTGTTTGCACGAGTTAAAATATATTATTATTAACTCACATAAATATATTAATATAAATATTATTTTCTATTTGTTAATTGTTGTTGTAATTGCTATTATTTTAGGTGAGTGTTAAAAAGCGTTAAAAGTGAGTGTTAAAAAGATTAATTACTGTAGACATAAATTGATAATTATATGTGTCTTCCAATTAAAATTATTTTAAAGATTTAAATGAATTATTAATAAATCGTTTAATAAATTTCTTTTAATAGAGTGTTTTAAAAGATTTATTCGATTAAATCTTTATTGAATAATTTTAACCGTTTTATCGGTTCCTCTCAATATTACCTCTTCCAAGCGAGTGATTGAATTCATTTATTTTTCTGGCGGAATATTAATTGAAAAGATTGATAAATCGCGTATTTCCATTTCTTGTTAAATATTCAAATATTCAACAGTTTTTCAGATTGAAATAAGCAGTCAATGTCTAATGCTACTTGAATTTGCTTCCGAGATATCCATAAAAAGTTTTCCTGAGATCTTCATATTTTGTGTGATGAGATATCTCAATGTGAAGTCAACCGTACGTGAGGAGAATACTTTTCCACTCTCACTTAAGTTGAAAGTCTGAATACGAATATAGTTAAACGAGAAAAAAGATGCTCTTTTTCTTTATCTTTCTAAAATTGTAAACTTTTATATTGACCCAAGTTTGAAACACAATACTGCTTTCGATATCTTTTGATACCTATATTGTAATTTACTACAATGTCTTAATTGACTGTCTTAATTGACAGAAAAATAGTGTTTTCTTTTTCTGCCAACAATTTTAATTGGAAAAAAATAACATTATCTTTTTTAAGAACTCTTATAAAAGCTTTCATTTTGTCATAAAAGTTTTACTTTGTCTTAAAAGAGAGAATTATAGAATAAAGTATCCTAATATTAAAAAATATAATAAATAAATTAAAACTTTAAAATTTAATCAAAATGTTAAGTTTATAAATAATATGTTTATAAATTTAATATAATTAAAATTGTTATTTTACTACTAAATAATTTTGACTGAGCGGCATTGGAAAATGTATCAATATAGTAATAATATAGTTATAATAATACTTTGTTATATATTTAGTTACGACTCTCTGTGAAATAGGTTTTTCTATATTTGGCGAATATTTTATATGAAAGATATAATAAAGTTAAACTCAAAGATGAAACTTGATGTGACAAACTCGCCTTTCATTGACGAGTTTTTCTGCTATAACAAGCACGGATATAACTCGGTCCCTTTTCGAAGGAACGGTACGATTACTATCATATCCATTCGTACGAAAGAAAAGTGACATTTATCCATGACAAAATCATTAGTACAAAGTCTGGTCAAACAAATGCGATAGATAAAGCTTTATCAAAATCATGACATAGTTTTGTGAAAGGACTAAATAAAATTTCGTAGACTATCACAAATTGTACAAAATAATAGAAAAAAATCTTCTACTAAAAGTAACTTACCGCGCAATTAATCGTTTTTCGTGCATAAGACATTCCTTTTCGACAATTCGCATTAATTAAATGTCAGAGCGGAGAATTTAATTCTTCACTATCCCTATTTAACTCCACCAACAAACTCGAACAGCCTTGCCTAGCGTGGCAAATGTTCGTGTACTTTCTGTAGAAGTAACTTCTCAAATTACAATGTCTAGCACGCTCATTTGCCGATAAAAATTTTCACTAATATCGGCGGATAAATTCTGAATATAACATTATCTTTATTCTAGCGCGTAACATTTTCATTTATTCCGTAATTAATTCAATTTTTGCCTGTTAAAAAATCATGCTAATAAAAATACTTGACACTTGACACGGCTCAATATATTTGAGTAATTTGATTTAATAAAAACAAAAAAAATTTGAAAATCCATTTAGATTAATAAACTGAATGGCACAACGTATAAATAAAACATAAAATTACGCAATGTGTCTATATATAAAATCTTTATATAATATCTTTATATAAAATATGAAAGTTTTTTTCCCGAATCTTTATCCCGTTATTATGCGCGAGTGTTTTTTTAAAATATATAAAGCTTAAAATTTCCTTACAAAATGGGAAATACATAAAATCTGAAAAATGTAAAATGCGAGATTACAATAACAGTGGATTCATCACGTGAGATCAAAATCTGCATTAAATCTTAGGAAACCCCGGCTAGATCCCCAAACGCATTCCCGCACGTAATATAAAACATCTGTTGCATTTGAAAAGTGTCCCAGCACACGTGACGCAAATCTTTCAACTTTTATCCTGAGAAATAGTCGTCATAAATCGACGAGCGTACTGATATCCGGCTCGAATCGACGCGGACACTCGCGTATTTTCTCATCAGCTGGACACTTGTGTCCAAAGTGGAAAGTCTCGACGAGGGTGGGTGATGAAGGAAAGGGGTGTGAGAATCACGGTGCGCACGCACCACTGAATGAACGCGCTTTTGAGCCGTTTCAGTATCGCCGACGGGGTTCTTCGGTACGGAACACCGACTTGATCCACCATGACGAGCGATGTAGATTGACAAAACGAATGATTCGTTAACGCCGATCGTCGTTTTTACGTGATACGCGCGCGCGTTGCAAAATTCTGTGACAATAATGCCAACGATTGATGAATCGATTGACAAATCGCGTGTAGTTAAATGACAGCCATATCGACGAAAGGCAGTCAAGATATACAGCAAACATGTGGATGCATATTGTTAAGTTCTTAAGGACGTAGCTGACAAATTTTATCGTTTGTTACCGTTAGTGATAATAACTTTAAAAGGATCGTGTGCGTTCAACGATTTGCGTTTTCTATTAACTGATTGAAGAAGATGTGCACTGGTCAACGATATTGTGCTTTGAATGTGTTAAAATACATTTTAATGATGCGAAGAAGTACGAAAAATTTGCGTTTGCGATCGCCATCTAAACATGCACGTTTTATAAAAAGTGTTTAAAAATTTAAATAGTGTCACATTTACGCACATTTAAGAACACATCGATAAATATCGATATAATAATACATTAAAGAAACACGTGATGTTATCTAAGAATATCATACAATAATTAATTGCGGTAAAGTTGAAAAAAAGATAAAATAATTTTAAGCATTTAAAAGTTTTTAAGAAAGATTTGTTAAACTAATTTATAAAATCTATGTAAAGATAGAGCAAATCTCAGAAGATTTCATTAATATAAATTTCCAAGCGCTTAATAGATTAGATATCCGTAGATCTACGTGATTCGAGATACAATCATTTTATGTTTATTCAGACTTTGAGACCGATATCCTCAATGGACAATAAGTTAAAAAAAAAAATATTTGGAAGTTAAAAGGTAAAATTGAATTGAGAAGAATTACATGTGTTTACCAATGCAACGACCTTTGTATCGGAAAATTATCAGCGTCCGATGCAGCGACTAACGAACTATATAAGACTTTCGATCAAGTGCCATAAATTCGTATCGACGCGCACACCTTTCCAAGGCGAAACGAACAATAACTATCGCTAAACCATCATAATGATAGTTACTCGCCAGTTCATTGTGCGTCACGTCGGAGGAAATCGGTATAGCTCATAAAATCGATTTAATGTGCTGTTTCGAGGAAGCGAACAGGAAGACAACGAGAACGAACGAAGCTTCGAAATTGTCCATACAATTGTCAAAGGCAACCCTTACAAATATGAATAACTCACATTTGGAACATTTATACAACTGCAGCGCATCGATTTTGGAGCTTAATATTACATTGCTATTGAGATTAAATTTTAACGAAATCCGTTATTTTATCGAGGGTGCATTGAACAAGTCAACTATGCGTGATTATCTTCGACAGGCACTCTTAGACTGTATTCTCGTCAACCAGAAACGGCCGTTCGATTTGCCGTGGTGGCAGAAGCTCTTCTGGTCTTTGATATTCGCGGTGATACTGCTGGTCGCAACTGGTGGCAATATTATCGTTATATGGATCGTACTTGGTAAGAAGATGGATTGTATATAAACGTGATATAGCATGCCCGAGAAGTTTTCAGCAAAGCTTTGTAAGCTTTGCATTCCTACAGATTTTTTCAACAAAAGGGAATTTTTCGAGATTCAGGTTTTTCTTATTATAAATATCAACTTCCAAAATATGTATCTTTTCCTTGCAATTTATAACAAATTAATTTTTGCTAAACGTCAGGCAAAACAGAAGATGTATGAAATAAAAACATTAAAATTATAATAAAATTAGCATAATCTTAAATTTTTGCATATTAATTAAATAAGTTATTACAAAATTATTTAGAAAAAAAAATTTTTAATATTCGTGTCGTTGTTTAACTAAAGTTTTTAATAATAAATACGATAAATAAAAGAAAAAAGACAAAGTTAAAACAAGTCTTAATTAATAATTTTTTAACAATATATTGGTGCTATTAAACATTTAACTATCTAAAATTATGATGATCTATTTGACAATAATTTTTTCTAAGAAATAATTAAATATATGTAGGTATACAAATAGCAGTAATAATTACTATCAATTTCTTACTAAAACGATGTTTAAAACGTTGCATGAAGTAGATAATCGTCTTCCAAACAAGTAAAATAATAAACCTTTCATCCGAAAAGAAAAGAAATGTTCGTCATTTTCTTTATACATGTACACATTTTTACATATGATATTAATACATATGCATCATGGTGATTAGCAATTTCATTGATTTTATTTATACCTTTTTATTTCTTATTAACGGTAAACTCTTTTCATTATCTAAAAATGTTAGATATTGGAAAGAATTTTAATAAAAGACTAGTGCACTATAAGATTATCAAGATCGAGTCTATGATATATCCAAAACTTTGGTTCACTTTAGTTTATTGTGCTTGTCTTCATAAAAGATAACACGATATAAGATTCATCAATTGTTCTTATTTTTAACTTCTTTATATTATTTCACATTATATAAGAAAAAGAACAGTCTTCTTAGTAAAAAAATTAATCGGTATATGTTCTATTAACATTACAGGGTCTTGAAGAATGTTGGATGATTGTTCCATGTTTCTTACAGACGAAAGAACAAATGAACAAATGAAAGAAAAAGTAGCAGATGTCTGTTATTCTGAATATAAATATACATTTAAATAAACATACATTTAAATAAACATATATATGTATTTACTTGCATAAATTTACTTGCATATTTCATTCGAAATGATCATTTGAATAAATCATTTCTTAAATATATTAACATTTTGTCATCCTCATAATGTCATGTATTATGAACATAACATAACAAAGTCTCATGAAATTTTCAGTCGTTTAACTTGGGTGATTGAATATTTCATTCCTTATGCATTCTTCTTATGTTGAAAACTGTTTTCTCGATATAAACGGTATAAACACTTGATAAAAACAAACATGAAGCGAAATAAATCTTTACATGCGATAAAATATACCATCCTATCTACGTCAGAAGAAGAGCAGTTTTAGCTTATATAAGTTTTATGTAAGTTTGTGCTACTACTTGAACACAGAAATATCAATGAATAATTTTAAATAATCTAACGTATATGTATTAACAGTAATAACAGTATTATATCACAGCATATTTTATAAAAATATTTTGATGATCAGTTATCAATTTTCACATTTAGCAAAAATAAACATATTTACAATACATTTTTGCCAACAATAAATTGATAAATTGATCAATTTTTAGCAATAAAAATTTACAAACATTAACAACCGCGTGTCTATTAATGAAATAATAAAAATGCATTGTTGTAAATTGCAATTTATAAAAAATTTTTGGAAATAATATTTAATGACAAATTAAAAAATAATTATGTATAAAAAGATTTTGTATTATATAGTTTTACCTTATAAATATTGATTATTTCATTACTTTTTTTTTACGTTAAGCTCTTGTCTCTTGTTATATGTATTTCTGACTGCTTTATCTCACCATCATCTCAAGCATGCTTATTCAGAAACAAGTACAATTTATTTTTGAATCGATAAAAAAATACAATGTCTTATACAAATTACATACATTTGTTCTTTTTGCGTAATTTATAAATAAATTTATGTATAAATGTGCAAAAAAATACATAATATCAGTTTATTATTTAATTAAATTTAGCATATCGATAAATTTCATTAAATAATGAATTCATTAAATTTCAATTTTTACAAAATATGCATTTAAAACACTCGTACAAGAAAATGAATATTTAAAAAAATATAAAAACTACGATATAATTAAAATCTCTTCTACAGATTTATTATAATAATAATTTTAGTTTTACAAATTTAAAGACCTTTTTATTTTTTTATAATAAGTGCTTTTGTATTTTATCTTTCAGTTATGTATCTTTGTCGAATCGATATTTATTTCTATGCTGAAAATAAAATTATTGGAGACAAATATTTAAAGGCTAAAATTTCAATAATTCAAATATAAATTCATCAAATATCCCAATACATATCAAATTTAAAATTATAAAGTATCACTGATTATTAATGAATAACGAAGATATTATGTTTTATCTTTTATATATTATATATTATATTTTTATAATCCTTATATCAATTTATATTATTACATATTCCTATATAATAAACAATAGATAATATAAATTAATGTATGTAGATGTATATTCTATTTTAAGAAAAGCATAAATATATATGTAAATATGAATTTCCTAGCTTATACTTTATTAAAGCAGTTTGCAGTTTTCATACAATTGAAATTCTCTCTTTCTCTTTCAAATTGAGGTTATATTATTATAGGTTCTTATTATAGGTTCTTATTAACGCATATACTATTTACATATATATACATCCATTTTAGCACTTGAATAAGCCATACCATTATACCAGTACTGGTTGCATTTTTTTTTTACGTTTATTTCATTTCCGCAACCTTTAGAAATTGCAGCGAATCTGTAAAAGTAACTGCACGTTTATATGGTATGCACAGAATTTATATTAAAATAGATAAATTTATCTTTTATTCATGTTTTAACGCATTACTCTTGATATTTGCAAGTTATAATTCTATTTATATAACATATAAACGTAGCAGTATATATATATATATATATATATATATTATTCCTAAACAATTTTATTATAATAAAATTCTTTTCTCTGTTTTTAAAAACGCCGCAGTTTAACACACTTATGATATATCTATTTTTCAAATTTAAAATTAAATTTTAAATTTACTACTTTTTAACTATAAATAATAATGTTATAGAGAATAATATAATAATATTTAGAGTAATCCATACTATATATACCAGAATGTTGTGTATTTTATATAAAATATGTTGTATATAAAATTTTATATATAGACGTATATATCAGAAAAGATAAGATTTTACAATAAACGCTGTTTCAGCCAAAGAGAATTAAAAAAGAGCTAAGAGATATAGAAATTTGTGTGGTAATGAAAATGCAGTAAAGCAAAATGCAAAGATGCTCGCGCAGTTAGTTAATTATAGTTATAGTTATAGTTCACTTAAAGTTACATTTACAAGAATTTATTTATGCAAATACCATAAAGAAACGTAATTCCACTGTGAATAAGATCATTAGATTGAAAGTAGTTCGTATTATTCTAGCGTATCCAATGACTTGAAATAATCTAAAATGCAATAATAGTGGGTATATTTCACTGACATTTGACAATCAGTTGTTGAGTTAGTAGTTTATTCATACCATGTCTATTTGACCACGAGAAGTCTCTAGTCTTTTTATATGAACGTATATTTCTTCATAAATGTATCAAAGAAAGTGAGAAATAGAATTTTTTATCAAATCTAATGCATATAACTTTGGCATACCTAATGACGTAATATAAATATGATTTCTTTGATTATGCTTTTACATAAATATATATTTAAATAAATTGGTATAGATCATTTATCAAGAGAATTGTGATAAACTTTAACTTATTAGTATTCATATTTTTACTCTTTCTATACATCATTTATTTTTCAAATACAATCATTTCGTAATATTCTAAGAATCATATATCAAATGTTTTATAAAGATTAATATAACTAATATAATATTTTTTCAATAATTAAGAAACTTATTAGTTAAACTTTTCTCGAACGAAGCATTTCTTTAGTAAAGTTATGAAGTTGATCGATGTTGATTAATTGGACGCTGTGCGATGGAACGACTTTTCTTGTCAATAATTTGTTGTCTATATGTTGTGCGTGCGTGTAATTTTATATGTAAAACGCATAAAATAATTAAACATGAAGACTTAAAAGGATATTTGGAAACAAAAAGCTGTTGAAAAGCTCGATAATTATTAAATAATTAAATGTTCGGACGCTCAAAAGTTGCAATATTTTATTAAATTATTATACCACTTTTCCTTATTTAAATATTTAAATTAGTTATCTTATTACATTAATAAACTCACACTCACAATTATACTATACAAGTAACATTATATACTTAGAACACTGTGCACAAAGAAATTAAATAAAAGAAATGTCATTGATGAAGAAATAATGCTTAAAAGTTTGCATGGATGTTTTATTTTACAATACTTTTTTACAATATCATATTATTCGATAAAACCTTTCTTATTGATCATAAATGTCATTTAACTCTCTACATTAGATAAGAATGGGAATCTACGAGCGAATTGTAGCAAATTTGAAACTTTCACGTATTATGATCACAGTATTATACGAAAGTTTTATATTCCATAGTTTCCAATTTACAAGTTGGTTTTGATAGCGCTGTTACAAAAGAATTAACGAATTTGCACTTTACACGTCAGAAAATTAACAAAATTACTCGTTTTAAACCAAGTGTTGAATAATATGGTTTGCCATGCTTCACTGTTGAATGATTGAGAGTGAGGATGTTAGATATCCCTACAGTTATCTTTTGATTGCGATATTGAACGCCGAATTGAGCGTGATCAAAGAAGAGACGCGGCGCTATCAATTGCAATCAATACGG